GTACCTTCCAACCCAAACCATTCTGTGATTCTGTGATCACAGGTCCGCAGCATGGCTGTGGCAAATGACTGGGAAACAGTGATGGGTCTGTGCAGCAGCAAACCCAGCAAGCGTCAGGCCACCTGCAGGACCAGGGCAGCCCCAAGCGGGGCCACCCCAGTGAAGGGGTCTGCTGGGCAGGCAGGTAGGGATAGATGGTGGTGCACCCGCTTCCCAGTGTGCACACCAAGCCTGCGGCCAGGCGAGAGCACTGGGAGGAAATGGGAGGTCAGTGGGGGGCACTGGCATGTGTCCAGAGGAGTCTGTGAGTCATGGCAAGGTGAGGAGGAGACCCCTGCCCCATGCTGCCTACCAGGTCAGTGGATGTCTGGGAGCCTGAAGCACCTCTGCGAGGATTCCAGCAGCATGGGACAGGATCACCATCTCTATTTGGGAGCAAGAGGTTGGTGGGGAGGTGGAGGGGGCCACAGGAGCCAGCTCCAAGCGTGGCAGGACTGGGGGCTGCAGAGCGGGGAGCTGGATCCTCCAGCACTGACCCATTGGGGGTGATCAGGGCTGGCAGCAAGGTGGGACCTGCTCTCCTGACCCTGAATTATCCCAGGATGCCCTAATCCCATTCCCCCTCCCCAGAGCACTGTTTGCTGCTTGCCACAAGTCCAGCTCCAGCTCCAAGGGTCCGGCCCATTGCAGACAGCTTCCCAAACCCCTGGTTGGTTCCCAACATCCCAAAACTCAGGCTGAGGCCACGTCTGTTGCTAATGCTGAGTTTCAGATCTTACAATTTACTTTGCAGGAAGATAAAAAGGAAAAAAGTAGCTTTTCTGGCCTTTGCCTTGTGCTCAGCCTCTCTCCAAGATGTGCTTCAGGATGGGGGTTGCTTTTGGGCTGCTTTTGGCCAGTTATGCTGGGAGTCCCTGTGCCCAAGCCTCCACCTGGGAGGTTGGGAAGATGTTGCAGGTTTGCCCCAGCCCCAGGCTGGGAGAGCTGGAGCTCTGGCCCACCTGCTCTGATGGCGGGGTGTACTCCTCTGCAAAGACAATGAGGGATAAGGCTTATCTCCTACTCCAGAGGGGAGCCCGAGGAGCAACGCAGCACAGAGGAAAGCTGCACAGCACCCACCCAGAGGGATGTGGAGGACAAAATCCCCCATGGACTCCAGTTGGTTGCAATGTTTCTGCCACCCACCCCCTGCACTGCCCACACAGGCTGAGCCTGCCCCAGCTCAGTGCATGCCAGGGCACTGCCACCCTGGCTCTTCAGCCGTGCTCCCCGTGGTCCTCAGTGCAGCAGCCATGGGAAAGTGTTAAAATCACCCTTTGCCTCTCACCACATCTGCACGCCATGAGAGAACTGAGTGCAGGGACCCCTGGGCAAGGAGGACCTGGGGACAGGAGCTGCTGGTTGCTCTTACTGGCTTTGGGCAGCACAATCATTTGCTCCTTGGAAAGGCCCATCTGGCTCATGGTGCCTCTGAATTTCTCTATCACACTGGGTTTCACTGTAGATGTGGCTGCAGCCCGGCCAAATGTTCCCAAACCTCCTCCTACAGGAGTGGTACAGGGAGCAGTTTGGGTGTCCCATACAGCCCTGTCAGAGCACCCAGCTCCCCAACACCCCCAGAGCAGTGGGACAAACTGTCCAGCAGCTCCTATCACATTGGTAAGGCTTATTGGGGACCATTTTAGGATCATCATCATCATGGGTCTGCGCCTCATGTCCCTTGCCTCCGTGGGCATCACTATGCCTTTTTGTGCTTCCTCTGGCACTTACTGTAGAGAACCGGCACTGCAGTGGTCAGCCCCTGGCATTGCCAATGGATGGTGTGGCTGGAGTAGTCCCTATTGACCAGGCCACAGCTGGTGAGGTCTTTCCCTGCAGAAGAAAGCAGTGGGATGTTTTAGATGTGGTTTGGGGAGGGGATGAGCTCTGGGCATCACCTCCCTCTGGGATGCAGGCTGAGCCTCCTCATGCACAGGGCTCATGGTGCTCCAGCAGCTCCCAGAGCCTCAGGCACCACTGGGCTGCCACATATTTTCTCATACCCTGCCTGCCTGGGCTTCACTGGGACTAAATTGCACCAAGAGAGAGGCTGGGGTCCCCCAGCACTGCATCTCACATGCTGGAGGTTGGGGGTCTCCAAGGATGCTCCTGCACAATTCTTCAATTAACCCAGCATGGACCCTCACTGATGACCAGGTACGAAGGTAGACCAGTGTATGCTGATAGCTATTGTGCTGCCTCTCCTGGGACGTTGCATCTCACAGCAAAGGGACCTTTCTGCCCCAGATGGCATCACCCGCAAATCCTGACTCCAGCATGCTCCACAGAGAGAGACGGAGAGACGGGGCGGTGCGTGGGGCTGGGCTGGGCTCTGTGACAGGGGTTCCTGTGCCTAGGTGGAGGTGTTCACAGGGCAGCACGGTTATCTGAAGGGCCTGGTCTGGGAAGCCCAGGGAGCATGGCATGGAAATCCCTAGCTCCCCATGATACGTTTTGTGGTAGTACATGAAACTGCTGCCTACACAGTGGGGAATAGCTTTCATCCATGTTCATGCCATGATTCTGGGAGAAAGGGAGAAGCCCTGCTGCTGGCTCAGGTCCCATTTCCACCCTTGTACTTATGGGAGTTTGCATATTGACCAGGTTGATCTGGTTTTTTTAGGACCATCATCCTCCACTTGCATCCTGCAGGTCTGGAAAGCAAACAAAGACTATTGGACTCCAGTTGACGGCACACAAAGCTCTCAGCTTTCCCAGTGGGCCTCCTCAAAAAGCAGCTCAAGAAGTTATTTGGTTGCTCCAGCCCAAGCAGCTTCTGGGGGAGGCGTGAAGCTGCAGCTGGAGCTTGAGTTCAGGCAATTCCAATTAGAAACAAGGTATAATTAGCAATGTCAGGGTGGCTGTGAGGAAGCTGTCAAGGGAATGTTAAGATTTCTATCTCTCATCATCTTTTAACCAAGACGGTTCCACCTTTCTAGGAGGAACACGGTCATCACCCAATTAATTGGATTGAATGCAGGTGTAAGGCAGGGGGGGATCCTCTAGCCAGTGCTAGACAACAGAAGAAACTAGTTTTCTCATCAGGTCTTTAAAGCATGTGAAGCCGTATCAGTCATCTCCGCTGAGAAGAAGCACAGTTGATTTTGGCCTTTCTTCCCAGACATGGTCCCAGAATGGGGATTGGAGTTAGTCCTGCACTGGTAAAGGTAGATTAAATACAAAGGTGTTTCTGTCTAATTTCTGTGGTTTAGTGATGCTTCTCCAGTCCCTGACGCTGCCCACTTGAAGGTGCTTTACAAACACCCAGGGATGAATTAATTCACTGACTCCACCTGCAGCCCGAAGGAGCAAACCTCCTCCACAGGCCGGAGGGTTCCTAGCACAGTCCCTTACTCCATTTTTGCCAGACTCGGCTGTACCTCAAGTCCAAATCGGCAGCAGGAGCAGCTGTTGGACATCTGCCTGGGCACAGAGCTCTAGCACAGCATCTTGTCTGGTCTCACCTCCTGAGGTCTCCAGCCATGTGGCAGGTGTTCCTGTGTCCACTATGTCCACTATTTTTTTCTACAGCTGGTTGATCGCCGTTCCAGGTTGGAGGCAAGAGACCAGCTCTTGACAGCTCTGCTCTGTGCGCACCTTCAGTGCACGTGTGTTACCAGGACGGGAAGCAGCCACCCCCCAGGGACTCGTGTAGTTCTTCCTTTTGGTGTTTTATGAAGAACTCAAGAACTAACCGAGGTGAAGAGCAAGAAAGAGAGGCACTCTGGGTGAAAGCCACACTGAATGAGAAGATTTGTGCTGACGCTTACCCAGGAATTAAAGTTTTGATGATTATTTCACCATCACAGTGAAATCTGGTGCTCAGAGACATTTTCCTATTTTTCTTGGGGTCTTCGATCCAGCTGGAGTTGGAAGCTATGGCGATGGCACGCCATGATGGGTCAACATAAGAGGCTGCAGAGTGAAGAGCCCCAAACGAGTTCCTCAGCAGCCTGGGGTGCATCCCGCCTGGTCCCAGGGGCTGCATATGTCCTGTCTGCGTAAGTGATCCCCATTTCATCCCTAAATCTTCCTTTGCTGTGGGTGAAGCTTCACTCCTTGAGACTCCTTTTTGCTCAGATGTGGTGCTGTAGAGCAGTGCTCTCCAAAATTTTCTGATCACACAACCTCATCAGTGAAAAACATTTGAGTCTGCACTCCCAATATATGTATATTTATTCATAAATTATATCTATGTACACAATAATAGAAATTCTAAAAGGATGAGATAAAGATTAAATAACCACTACTTTTAAAAATATTATTTTATTTTACTCTATTTACTAATGGTACCAAAAATACTTTCTTCCTGCACCCCACTTCAGAGACCACTGGTCTAGAGAAAGCAGTGATCTTCCCTGACAGATAAGCCTAATAAAAGGTATATATGTTTCTTTTACCCCTAGTGACGCTGCTGGTCTTTATGGCAAGCTCCCTTGGTCCATATCGTGGTGTGGTCTCAGCCATCAGTGTCACGAGTTGAAGGCTGAGCACAGAGCACACTCAGGACTTGCAGTGCCTGACCCTTCCCTGCCTCACCCTGCCTGCCACCTCCAGAGGTGCCTACCTGGCCAAAGACTAACGTAGCTACAACTGGCAGGAGCAGTCATGAAATCACAGGTTTCCCTGTCAATAGAGAGAGCAGAGGGGCGGCAGATAGCTCTGGCTCCAGTTCCCATTATTTCTGCCAAGTAGGAGTCTTTACAGACTCTTATTTGTAAAGAAATCCCAACGCAGCACTCGGCCGAGGTCTGAGGCGGACGTGTTTTGTTGTTCCTGTAGGCGTATCTTCTTGCACACATTGAGCAGTGGTCACAGCATCCTTTCACACCCATTTATTTACGACCACCAAGTGACGCCTCCCTGGCTCCGTGTGGTGCTGAGAGACCTCGAACCCTTCCTGAAGGCATGTCACAAGCCAGATTAATCTGCTCCCACAGCCACGCTCGGATACCACTCACGCGCCTGCTTTATCACCACCATTTTGCATGTGGAAGCAGCTCACTGTTTCCAGGATTAACTTTGGCTCCTGTAACAACAAAGATCAATCCCCTGACAATGGTTTTCCTACTTATACATATTTTATTGCATTAGGGGAAAGACATCCGGCTCTGCAGTGTCTGCAAGTCCAGCCCAGACAAGATTATCTTAAAAGGAGATGCAAACAGCCGAGCATTACTGCTGTGCTTTGCACGGTGTTTCACCTCGGAAAGGGCTCTGCTTAGGAATAAAAGCTCTTTCCAGAATGCCTGACAAAGCCCTGGTGTAGATAAATGATTAAAAAAAATAAGGCTTACCAAGGGGACCGTCACAGCAAAGCCAGTACAGATTCTCTACCTGGGCAATACCTATTTCTTAGGAAAAATGTTCCCAGAGTTGCTTATTGGGAGAACTCCTGTGGCCAAGCAATTAGCAATTTTACAAAATCCCCTCCTAGTCTATTCAGGTCTTCCAAGGTTGTTGTGTGCCATCTTTCTGCCACCAGGCCAAGAAGGTGAAGACTTCTGCGGTGCTCCACGCTGGAAGCACCTGGCTCCTGGGATGGGATGAAGCACCGCTGACCTGCCTGGGATCATGGGGGGCTTCCTGAAGATGGCACTGCGAGTTGAAGCCAGCTGGGCTAGGGGCTTTCAGACACAAAGGGAGACGACACTGTGAAGTGGGTACCAAGCCCCTGGGTCCCCACCAGGCACGGGTCTGAGCATTGGTTGCATTGGTGAGGGAGACCGAGGAACTACCAGCTGAGCCCACACCAGCACCACACGGCACCGCCCGACCGGGAGCCCCAGACCCCTCGTGCGTTGGGTCACCGAGAGCCACATCCCTGCTGTGGACATCTATAACACCCCCCTGTGCAGGGCTTTCCTGATGGCCCCTTTGACCTCGCTGTTTCTCAAGCTGTAGATGACGGGGTTGAGCATGGGAGTCACAATGGCGTACAGCAGGGCGAGGGCCTCATCCATCTGCTTGGAGCTGCTGGAGTGAGGCACCAGGTACGCAATGGCCCCTGCACCAAAGAACAGGGACACCACAGTCAGGTGGGAGGTGCAGGTGGCAAAGGACCTCTGTGTCCCTGCTCCCTTCTGGAGAACAGCCCCGATGATGTGAATGTACGACACAAGAGTAAGGAGGAAAGAGCCCATCGCAATAGTTCCAGCCAAAGCATACAAGGCGGCTTTGTTGAGGGGAGCATTCGGGCTGCAGGATGCCTTCAGCAAGAAGGGCATCTCACAGAACAAGTGGTCGATCATGCTGCACCTGCAGAAGGGCAAGTGGGCTGTGAGGAAAGCCTGAATGAGAGATGATAAGGAGCTGCTGAGCCACGAAACAGCAGCTAAGCAGTGGCACATCTTCTTGCTCATGACCGACAGGTAGTGGAGGGGGTGGCAGATGGCCAGGTACTGATCGTAGGCCATGGCACCCAGGAGCATGCACTCAGAGCCACCAAAGCAAAGGAAGAAGTAGATCTGTGTGATGCAGCCCACAAAGGACATTGTCCTCTGCAGTGAGAAGGAGTCTCTGAGGATCTTAGGGAGGGTGATGGAGGAGTAGCAGATGTCCAGGAAGGAGAGGTGGCCCAGGAAGAAATACATGGGGGAGTGCAGGTGGACGTCCAGCCAGATGAGGGTCATGATGAACAGGTTCCCCCGCACTGTCACCAGGTAAATGAGTGAGAAGCACAGGCAGAGGGTCACCCGTGCTCTGTAGGCACTGGAAAACACCAAGAGAAGGAACATGGTGGGGCTGCTGAGATTTCCCCACTGCAGGGATTTGGGGCTCATCTACAGGGAAAGTAGGAGGAGATAAAGACAAATAGGAGGAGGGTGAGCACTCACCCCTGCCGTGGGGCATCACCAGCACTGCTGCATGGTGGACTGAAGCTGTGCCACTTCCCTGGCACTCATCACACCTCATTCCAGGGGCTCGGGGGAGAGGATGCGTCTGTGGGGGCAGGTGGCGGGTCTCAACCCATGAGGCTTTAACCCTCAAGGCAACCCCCGACTCTGTGTCACCTGAAGGATACCACAGAGAGCTGGGACCTCACCACTGCGGTCAGTAAGGATCCCTGGGACTGTTAAACGAGGGCGGACAAGGGCAGCTCCTCTCCAGGTTTTGGAGCATGGTCTAAAGATCCCACAAAACATCCAACACAACAGGTTGCACCCTGCCTTGCTGAGCAGTTGCCCTTCATGCAAGCAAACTGTGTTTATACCACTAGTGAAGATACAGACAAATCTCCGGCTTCCCCTCTCCATCACAGATTGTGGGAACAGACCTTACCCCTCTCCAAAAAAAAAAAAAAAATTATTGTTAAAAGTTACAGACAAAGGTGTCTGCCTGCAAATATTGCACTGTACTTGTTAGCCTCATGCTCACACCTAGAAAGCAATGCAAAGGAGGGACCTCTGAGAGATCTCAGGAGGACCAGAAAGGCATCTCAAGGTAATTGTGTAATTCAAATAGGCTTGAGGGTGGCAAGAACAATCAGAACTGCTAGCCCTCAGGAAAAGGGGAAGACTCTGAATCTAATGAGAAACTGGAGCTCAAGGATAAATGAAGGTGGGATGCAGAAGATTTTGAGTGTGAACCTGAAACTACTGAATCCACAGGAAGAGCAGTAAGGAGGTGATCACAGATTTGCACAAACTTGCAAGAAGCTGTTAGTACTGACAGAGCTGTCACCAGATCCTTCCAGGGAGAAGCGTGGGAGCATCTGCCAGATGCGAAGAGGAGGGGGTGCCAGGCTGAGAAGACTTGAGCACACCCTGATGACATTGCAAGCTCCCTCCAAGAGGGAATGAGGACAACTCCACCATGCTGGGGATGTGCTCCACAACGCAGAGGTTCAGGGATGGGCTGTGGGTGCCCAGCAGTCGGGGTGAGCGTGTGAGCAGGGAGGGAGGCAGGAGCAGTGAGCCCAAGGCTGGGTGTCACGGGAAAGGCTGGGGTGCTTGAGCAGCTGGGAGCCTCCACAGAGACACTCCTCTTAATGCAATGAGGCACGTCAGCAGGAGAGGAGAAGCCTTCAGGGATCCGATGTCAGGCTTTGAGCAACAAAGGGAATGGAGGTCCAAGGAGAGGCATGGACTCTCCAAGCTGGTTTGGGATGTGCTGGAAGAGTAGGAGCTGGTAAACAACAGCATAACCACAGAGGGAAGTGAAGTACCTGTAGGGGTAAGAGCATCATCTGGGAGAGTGATATGTCATGAGCAAAAGGCTCATGTCTCCTCTGGCTCAGGAAGAGCAGGTGGGTGGTCCATGGCAAACAACACTTCTTGTTCTGCCTTTTTGATTGTGCCCTCATGCAAAGTTGGTATGGAAGAACTCAAATTATTACATGGAGCCACCCATGGCAGCAGATGTCCCCAGAGGTCAGAGAAATAGCTGGTGTGACCAGAGCAGAGGCAATGGAGAACACAGGAGGAGAGGGCAAGAAAGGGAGGCGAGGAGGAAGGGTAGGACAGTACAAGACTTTGAAAGGCACCATCAAAAGATCTTCCTTGATCTAAATTGCCTTGGGAAGGAGGGAAAGGAAGATCTGCCTGGATGGTGCTGGGAGTTTGTCACAGATCCCCCAGCTAGACTGGGGCGAGGACAAAGCCCCAGGAGAGGAATTCTTCCAGGAAGAATAACTCTTTGGAGGAGTGGTGGTATTATAAATCACAGCCTTGTCGGTAACGGTGATTCCAGATATCCTTGGATATGACATCTCACATATCTCTTCACCGGGTTACAGGATGAAGTGAGCTGATGGGGTTTTTTTTTGTACCTGTTCCTGAAAAATAGGCTGTTTTTAGAAGAGCTATCTGAGAAAATAACTTCAGCTAGAGTAGGGATGAGTCAATGCCATTTTGTGTAAATGGGAAGATCAATAGGAGCAGATTGGTGGCTGCATCTGTGAACAAGAACAAATCAGGACAAGTGAGGAGAGCTGGTTACTGCAGCTGTAGTCGAGCATGCAAACGTAGAAAAGAGCTGGGATTTTGTAAAAGAAAAGGTGCAAAACCCAGCTAAAAACTCCCTTTCGGACACAAGGAAGAGGCTGGGGAAGCAGGGCTTTTCCCCTAGCAAACGAGCAACATATATACACCAAGGAGGGTGTTTGGAAAGAGTGGAAAGTCTGCAAAGAAAGAAAAGAGCCTGAAAAGTGGTAAGCAAAGTCTGCACTGAAAGCTGGAGTGCAGAGAGACTGGGAAAATTGCTTGTAGTGTTATGAGATTAATATATGCCCTTCAGCCATGTAGTTGAAGGACAGGCAGCCCCAGAGTGCTTCGCAGGTTGGTGCCCTGGAAGTCAGACGTCGCCCACTCCCAGTTTTCCAGGAGGACAATGACAATTTATGGCAAATGTAGGGTGGCCAGTGACAACATGAGGGTATGGGGACAGCAGAATCAAGGAGGGAGGAGAGTCTTCAGAGGTTTGCTGCATGTCAGCAGGGATGTGCGAAGGGAGCATGGCTGCACGTGAATTCAGGAAAAATGAATGCTGCTTCTCCTGCAGCGAGGGTGCAAAGCATCTTCGTGATGGGGACTATGTTGGATGGGAGAAGAGGAATACAGCACCAGGCATTTGCAAAGCTTTAGGGCAGACAAAAAGAAAGAAAACTAGGTGGGTACAGGAGCTCTTGGGACTACGGAGCAGTCTGCCTGCTTACAGGGTCCTCGGCTGGAGACCCAGTGGTCCAGTCAGCCGAGGACAGTCAGGAGTCATGAGTGTGGTACAGGGTGACAAACTGGCCGTGGGGACAGCAGAAAGGCTTCCAGTTCATGTGGAAAAATACTGATGCTGTGGTACGTTAGTGAGACCGTGCTGAGTGGCGCACAGGGAGCCCACTCAAGGAGGAGGAAGCCAAGCTGGGCTGCCAGGATGCCTGAAGAGGGGAGAGTCATTGGAGAGGACACGGTGGGCCGTGGTCAGCCTGGAGAAGCAAAGCCAAGCAGAGAGATGACTGCAGCACTGGGGAGCAGAGCCCTTTGCTCGAGCACACTGCTGTGGGTAACACTGGCCCAGGCAAGCCTGCAAGAGCAATATGACTTTGACCCAGGAATCATCTCCTGCACCAGGGTTTGGACAAGGAGCCAAGGTCTCACGTTGATGCCTTCTCAAGAGGTTTGGGGCCCAAAATGCTCACATTGTGGGGCAAAGGTAGGAGGGGTTTTGGTTCCTAAATCTCTTTGTCACCACCGAAAACTTTTCCCTTTACCTAAAATAAACCTGTTCTAAGTACAAGTAGGTGTCCACAGAGCCTTTGCGTTGGTTTAATGAAGCAGAGGTGGAAAACTACATGCCTGGTTCATCTGGAAGATGACACACAGACAAACCCGGAGTGAGACCCCTTGGGAGGGCACCCAGCCCCAGTTCCCTCCCAGTGCCCCATGGCCTCCCCAGAACCAGGGGCATACCCAGGATCTGCTCTCCCCAGGGCATCGCCACATCCTGGGCTACCAGAAAAACAGCTTGGCATCTCTGGCACCAGTTGCCTCACTGGGAGGTGAAGGGGGCAGGAGGGATGAGTCACAGCAGGCTATGTGTGTCCCCAGCATTGCCCTCCAGCCTGCGAGAGAGGGAAGGAGGAGATGTTGAAGGTGTTGTGCGACTGGGATGCAAGCGGCATCTTCATTTCATTTTCCAATAACTGTAGGGGTTTGCAATTAAATCTGCTGATCTGATAGTCATTAGCTGGATGATCAGCCAGTCATTGGAAGTGTCTGCTTGCCTTTCTGCTAATTAAATTGCATTTGATTTGCAATCAAATCTAATATGAGACAAGTGAGCTCAAGGTTGACTGGGGAGCAGCTGATGGGTGCTGCTGTGTGTGAAGCACAGGCCGACACTGCGGTCTCGCTGTGTTTGTAGAGCCACATCCCAGGCAGACCGGGAGCACCGACGGGAAGCGGACTGTGGTATGGGTGAACAAGGGACACGTCTGCAGCCGGGCAGAGCCGTGTTTGCAGTAGGGGCAGAGCTCCTGCTGTGCAGCGAGCAGGTGAGCTGCGGTGCTGTGAACTTTGAGACGTGTACCAGGCACCCAGGTACTCCTCTGGCTGCTGGACTATGGGAGGGACTGCAAGGACACCCACGTCTGCTGGTTGTTGGAGAGGGGCACAGAGCAGAGCAGGGCAGAGCTGGCCTTGCAGCCCCCGGCATGGGGCTGAGTCCTTCCCTCCAGGATCCTACAGCTGTCCTGCCCTCAAGCACTCACCCCACACAGGTGTTGGGGACACAGCGCCTGCAGGGCTTACCTTGAGAAGATGCTTTCTCTCTTCACACCAGGTGTGTCTGGCAGCACCAGCTGTTTAGGGCACCAGGGTGATTTCAATGTACTCCTGGGAGGCACCTGGGAAAAGATGCCCTGTTACAGCACAGTCTGTAATTGCTCCGCACAGCCCCTCGGGCACGGCGCTTTGGGATGCTGTGGGAGCAGGGAAGCACACCATGAGGCAATATGCTGTGCCGAGTCCTGTGCTCCATGCCTGACTGTGGACATCCCCCTGAGGGGTGCTCCAGCAGCATCCCCATGAAGAGGGCCCCAAACCTCCAGGGGCCAGGACTGAAGTTGTCTTTGAACTTCTTAACTGGGGTCGTTCAGCCTGGAGAAGAGGAGACTGAGGGGAGACCTTATCGCTCTCTACAACTACCTGAAAGGAGGTGGTAGCAAGGAGGAGTCAGTTTCTTCTTCCAAGTAATAAGCGATAGGACAAGAGCAAATGGCCTCAGGTTGCGCCAGGGGAGGTTT